CTTGAATTTAAATATTGGTATGAAAGCTTAAAAAGAATGGACATTAAATCTGAGAATGTACTAAGTGAATTCAATGTTTGTAAACAAATATTAATAGACTTTCCAAATATTACAAAATTTATTTCAAATTTTAGCATTCCGACATGTACTAATGAAAGAACTTTCTCGAACGAAGGCTAGAAACATATTTGTGAAATACTACCTCGCAAAATAGATTAAATGGCTGCTCTTAAATATTCATCGGGAATCAACACCAGTTAATTCCGAAACAATTAATTGATTATCAAATTTTAAAAGTGAAATAGATCTAACATTATAAATTATTATCACGTTTTTCTATTAATGTTATGTATATATATATATATGTAATTTTGTTCTAGACTTATTTTTTGATATAATTTTTTAACAAATGTCATATATTTTAAATAAAATTAATATTATTTTAAATTAAAATTAACCTCCTTTTGTAAAAATATTATATAACTATATTATATAGATTATAAGAGGGCCGAACCCGAAGACCCTCCCAAACAGGGGCGTCGCTAGCCTTTACAATCTCAGGGGATCAACTAAAAAAATTTATGGGGGGGCTTCGCCCCCCATATCCCCCATTTTGCAGGCCTTCGGCCCGCTTTTGCCCGGCCTTCTGCCGCGTTTTATATTAATATATTATACTTTTTTAAAATTTACTAACTCTAAATAATTATTCTGAATGTCATTTATTATATTTTGCATGCAAAATAAACTAGCATATAAATCGTTAAAATAATACAAGACATTTCTAAAAATAATATTTTTTAATACAAAATCTATTTATTACAATATAAAATATTTTCGATTGTTGATATAAAAAAAATTTGGTCTAAAGAATTGTAAATGATAAAAAAGGTTAATTAATTCATATATATATGTCTCAATTGATAATGGGATTTGAAAACTACACAATATAATCTTAGCAACTTACATTGACAAAAGGTCATGAAACTAATATAACTCTATTACCATTTTAGACAATGTTTTATAGAAAGGACTAATAATAAAAAATTTATAGACCTTACCAAATCAACAATTCTTGAAGAAGAGAATATAAACGACCAATCCAAATCATAAAACTATATGGTGGTTATAGCTTCCTCTTAGATGACATGATGGTTGCTAGATAAGTAATCGAGAAAATTATTGTATGATATTAAATTTCTAAAAGATTATCTTCCATTTTTAATGATACATAAACGACTACACAGTTGACCATTATTGCTTATCTAAAATATGCGATCATATGCTCTCAGCAGCTTTAGTAATAATCTTAAATTACATAGCCATACAAATCTGGTTAATTTGCAGTTTTAGCCATGACACTCACGATGGTAACCCATATCAGAATTTATTCTGTTAGATAAATTGATAAAATAAAAACACTAAAAACCTTTAAAATAAATTATGCAAATATATTGAAATTTTGAGTTATTTATACGGCAAAAATGCCCTATTAGAAATGAAACATTTTGTAACTACAAAATAAGAACCAGAGTGATATCAAGAAAGCAATTAAGATTTTATATATTATTGTCCCACCATCTCTAGTTGGCAGCGTCTATATGACAGGATTTTCACTGGACCCTCTTCAAAAACCTTTGCCTACCACCCTAAAAAATCGCCGCCTTCGGCGGCGGTGTCTCTTTATCATTATTTTTACCTATTTATTTATTGATACTCTTTTCAAAGAATTTATAAAGGATAACTTAAATTAATCTAAATCTACTACCAGGCGCGTACGCAGGAATTTGCTGTGGGGGGTGGAGGGGGGCAATTAAAATTTTTTTTAATAAATTTTTGTTATTTAAAATTCTGAAGCATAAATTTATTAGGACTAATAACTATTTTTAATACACAATATTAAATTAATGTGAATTATAAAAATTAAATATATAAACCGGCATATGAAAAACTTTAAAACATATAAACCGGTATATAAAAAAAATATAAAAACCGGTATAAAAAAACTTTCAAATATATAAATCGGCATATAAAAAACTTTAAAATATATAAACCGGCATATAAAAAACTTTAAAATAAATGTGAATTAAAAAATATTAAACGGATATAACCGGCGGCATATGAATAACTATAAAATAAATGATCCAAAATAGAAATATTTTGAGCCTTTAAAATTTATATATAAAGTATAAAAAATATAAATGTTGTAAATATAAATTTACATAAGTTTATTAGGTAAAATTGTATTTTGTGAATGAACTATTTATAATTCATAGGACAGCACTTAGCAACTGCTCCCAACCTTTTTTGGACCCCAACAAAATGCTATAGATGCTTTGCATCAATTCAAACATATTTTAGATTATTTTCTTAATATATTAAAATTATAAAATTGCACAAAAAATTTTAAAAGCATATAATATATTTATAAGATAAAATCCAATCTTCGTTGGGATAGAGCTAATTTTTCAATTATCTCATCCGTGCTTGGCGTCAAATGCCTATGAATATTCAATAGGGCCAAACCATTCAATCTACTTTCAGAAGTTGTACTTCTTAGGTAGGTTTTTATTCTTCTCAAAGAAGAGAAGGTTCTCTCATTAGTTGCAGTACTAATGGGAATAGTTGCTAATATATATAATAATTTTAATATATTAGGAAAATAATCTAAAATATGTTTGAATTGATGCAAAGCATCCATAGCATTTTTTGGGACTATAACAACCATGGTTAATCTTTTATACCATAGTTGGCATTCAGCCAATAAGGCATCATAAATAAGATACTTTAATATCTTCATGATAAAAATTTGCCAAATATTTTATTTTATTTCTATCACCATCTGAAAAAGGTTGGGAGGGTTTTTGTGGAAACAATATCTGCAGATTGCTAAGTGCTGCCCTATGAATTAAAAACCGTTCGTTTATTTGTGTTATAAATGTATCTAAAAGAGGGATAAAGAGATTTATTTTATAATATTCTTCGACTGACCCGATATTAATGTTTGGACGATGAGCTTGCCTTGCTGCAAGTCGAGGGAGACAAATATTAAACTCATATTGTTGTGCTTTTGACTCAACAATAACATATAAAATATGAAATTCGTCATCAACATTAGCTCTAATTTCATTGAGTTCTATTAAAATACTCTCTGCTATTCTCATCATCTCAACCAAGTCAATATCGGGTTTTTGAAAAGTATTGCATAAAATTGTAGTATAATTAAATAATTTATTAATACATTGTAATGAGAAAAAAAAATTAGGTATAAGTATGGAATCTAATAATTTGCTAGCCTCTGTAGAAATATCTCTCTCAGACCATTGTGATATTTCGGTAAGAGCGTTAATAATTGGTTCTTCTAACTCCATAAAAGATGTCACAGCTTGATGGCGAAGGCTCCATCTTGTTGGGCAAACTTTTTGCAATTTTTTCCTCCTTGTTGGACAAGGAGTTTCAGAAATAATTCTGTTCAAAATATTTTGTCTCTTGGGATATCTAAACATTTCATAGATGCTAGATATTTTGCCTGATACAAATATAAGAAATTTAATTGAAATAAATAAAATTATACCTATGCAATTTGATATCAATGGCAAAGAACATGCATTAGATATTGCCAGGTTGAGGGAATGAGCAGCACAATGGACATATATAGCTGTTGGGCATTTTTTTTTATAAATGCTTGAAGCCCATTGAATTGCCCACTCATTGCACAAGCTCCATCATACACTTGCTACGTATCAAATTTATATTAAGTTATATTTTTGAAAAAAATAATTTTATAATGTGATTAATTATTACTTTGAATTTTTCAAGATTGTCAAATATTACATCAGCTAAGGCAGACCCAGTCATGCTTGAAGCTGGGATAAATTGAAGAAACATCTCTTTTATAATGTTATTTTGAGTATCTATATATCGTGCACCATAGGGGTAGCCAGGGGGGGGGGAGACAAGGGGAAATTTCCCCTTCCTTCAGAAATTTATCACTTTTTGTAAATATCATTTATAGCTAATAAAAAATATCCCCCTTAGTCCTCCCCCCACTCCCTGACCCTCATATATGTATGCATATATCTTAAATAATAATTTAAAAGAAAGAATGTAAAAGTTGATATTTTTTTATAAAACTATTCATCATAATTTATAGATTTTTAGAAAATAAATTTATAAATATATAAAATGAACCAAAAATGTTTTTTAATAAATGGAATATAGGCCAAGGATAAGTCTTAAGACAGAAGTGAAATGTATTGTAATTATTAATAATAGATCTATAAAATTACTAAATTATATAATATATCAAATATATTTTTTTATAAAGTGAGTAATTTTAATTTATTTATCTCAATAAAAGTAAAATATAATTATAAAACTATTGATAAAATTAAATCATAAATTAAAAAAATATTAAAGCACAATATAAACAGTGGAATATTATATGTCGTCGATTTACAATATATCTAATTATCAAATGACAATCAAGTATTTTTACCAATATAGCGAATTATATATTTTACAGAAAACTACTAAATATTGATAAGGACATCAGAAAATATCTTTTAAAGACATTGTGGGATGAATAATATGAAGATTAAATTTATATAAACCTAAATAAAATAGAGAGCGTTAAATAATTGTATGCATATTGTTGCTATATTTAATATTAAGAGCATTGATTAGTAAATTTTGTCAGATTATTAACTGTAATATATTCTCTAACTGTCAAATATGTCTGTAAAAGTGGAATTTTACTTATTATTTTATAACTAATTCTATATAATAGAGTAAAATCAACTATAAGTCTACTTATAGTTATAAATAAATTTCTTATAATTGTTTGGAATAAATTATTACCATGCTTTTATATTAAGGTATATTCAATAGAAGTAATTTATTATATTTTTATTTTATATAAATTAATAAAAATATATTTCATATTTGTTCCAGGCTTATTTTTTTATTAAAATTTGTAAAAATATTTTATGACTATATATAGGTTAAAGTAACCCGGCCAAAGGCCGGGGAAAAGCTGCCGAAAGGCCCGCCCAAAAGGGGTCTGGGGGCGAAGCCTTCAGTATTTTTTTGATTCCCCCCCCCTTATGAAAATCCTGGCTACGCCTATGTCGTGCACAAAGTGACATCTGCTCAATGCCAGCAATGTCTGTGGTCTCATCTGCCAAAATTGAGTAGCATGGGGCAGAATTGATTTCAGTAATCAATTTTTCTAGAATGATATTATTGCAAACATCAATTATTTCATTTTGGATCCTAGGGCTAAGATATGTAGCATTTTTATTACTACTATTAATGCTCTCCATTAATGCAAAATCTCCTAATGCTTTAAATTTTATAAGGCCACGAAAATTCCCTTCGTTATCATTATTATTGAAATTCAGGCTTCCTGAATCAAAATGGCCACGTAAAGCTAATCCCTGCAACCCACAATATAGAATAGCCTCAATAGTTAGTCTTATCTTGCATCTATTTTCTTTTGCAATTGTAAGCCTACTTTTATCAATATGTGATGTAATGGGAATCATATCCCCACTTTGAATTGATTTTTTTGAGGAAATCATTAGTTCACAACTTTTGTGATAATTTGTTTTTTGATGATTATCAAAAATTTCTCCAGCATCTTTGTATCTGTTAAATGGAGTCTTAACAAGAGTGTTAAGCTTAACCAAATTTCTTCCAGCATATCTTGGACCAAACAGGACACATATCTTACAATAAGCTCCATTGTCACGGATAGAGTATGCTAGCCATAACCATCTAGTAAAATAGCTGTTTTGAAATTTTAGCTTTCGATTAGCACATACAGTTTGTGGATATTGAAAATTGAGGGGTGGAATATAAATCTATTATTAAATTAAATAAATTATTTATCATAGGTATCTTATATTTATTACTTTTTTAAGAAGTAAGTGTCTTTCTTCTAGGCTAATATTATCTTTATCCAAAAAATTGGCTATATCATACGGATCAATGTACTCTAGAGTTTTGTATAAGGATTTTATATGAGTATAATATTGAGATTAAAATTATTTTAAAAAAGCCAAAATCTTTATTTAGAATAACCTTTTGATGGCTTTGGCTCTATATCCTGACTCTCAATTACTCTTCCAATTCCAACAATTATTTCATTATTTATGGGAGGGGTTTTAATTACTAAAAAAAGAAAATAATAAAAATATGTTAAATTTTTGCTTTTTTATAAGATGACTTTGACTAGAATCTTTATCATCATTCGTGTTTTTAAAAAAATTTCTTATGTCCATAATTGTTATTTGACAAGAAAAAAATGGTAGATAAATTTGCCGTTAAAAATTTGAAAATAGTAGATAAATATTACCAAGGAAAACTTGAAATTGAAATTAATTGATAAAATAACTTAGTAAATGATTGTGATAAATAAATGTAATTAAATATATATTTGAATGAAAGATATATGAATAAAGATTATAAAAATAATATTAATATATAGAAAATAATATTTTTGAAAAATATATACGGCATCTGCATTTTTTGGCTTGGGGGGGGATTTGCCCCCCCCCATCGCTACGTACGTGCCTGTCTACTACCAACTATCTATATTTTGTGATTATAAATAATTTATTTTTTAGATAATAAATTCAATTAAAACCTCCATTATTTACAATGAATTAGTTATTATGGCATTAAGAGCTTGCTAAAATATCTAAACCTTTTAAATTAAATTTAAAAGGATAGTTTATTTGGAAAACAATGTGTATGATTGTTTGCAATATATAGATTTGGTCGATTAATTGTATTATAATAATACTATAATAAAAGTATAATTTTTACAGCAATAAATTTTGTCCTATTTCATCCAAAATTTAATAGATAACCCTCCAAAAAATTTATCCTACCCCCAGTAAAGCAGCTTACCTCCTACCCCCTCAAAAAAATAGGATGCAAACTGTTCCTACCCCTCCCGCTCATGTAGACACTGCTAGTTGGTATATTATATCTTAAAATAATAGTCGTTTGTAATAATATTAAAAATATATTCGTATTAAAAATTTAACTCAAATATATATTCCAAAGAAGAAGAAAATTGCTTCCTAAAAACAAGTTACAAAGAGAAGAAAGGATATATTGTGGAATGAATAATATTACGATTAATTTTAATTATATTGTAAATAAATAAATGGCGTTAAATATTTGTAAGCAGTTTGTTACTTATATTTATTATCAAAAGCATTTATTAGTAAAATTTTAAAAACATTAACTGTAATATATTATATAACTGTCAGATACGTCTGTAAAAGTGGCATTTTACCTAATATTTTATAAGAAATTATATATAATAGAGGATTATAATATGTCTACATACTTTTTATAAATAAATTTCTTATAGTTATTTGGATTTGGACCTTGAAAATAATTTTAGGAAGAGACAAGATAATTAAATTTAAAAACAATAATATAGTTGATTAGTGATTTTGAACTCGGCTAAAATATTAAATTAATAATTTTCACTTAATAAATGATTATATTTATTTAATTAGGGTTATATAATAATTTAAATAATAAAAGTCAATTAAGCTTCAACTGTTAATGCTAAATTAATATTTAGTGAGTGATATTGTTATAATTTAAACATAGAATTTGATTGCAAGCTGACATAGTATAATTTATATGTAATAATCTAATCTAATATTTAAAATAGTATTCATTCAATAAAAACTAAGATAGTCTTATTAATTTTTTAATAAAATAAAATCTATATATTACTCAATAGAATTATAAAAGAAATTATTCAGAGGGAAATTAAAACATTTATTTTTAGCTCAAGGGGATAATAAGTAGCCATTAAAAAAATTTTTTTGCTTCAGGGGGCTATTCAACTTTTAAGGCCCCCCCCTAGCGACGCCATTGTTCCAAAATGGGGTATGAGAGCGAAGCCCTCAATAATTTATTAATTTCCTTTCATCTTATGTAAACCCTGGCTACGAAGCATTATTTATTCGCAATAAAATATATCATTACTCATCCAAATTTTATAATTTATTTTTATACAAAATATAATAATTGACATCTACTAATAGCAAGTGACTAGTACCATTTTTAAAAAAAGCTAATCAATTAGTTTAGACAAATATTATTCAGCAAAATATTTGGCAAAAATAATAGGTAGGCCATTTTTAAAAATCGAGCCTTAACAACACTACCCATGACCCATAAATTAATGTAAATTGCAGGTCACTAGAGTTATAACATAATGTCAATAAAACTCTAATATATTTAAATTACCCGCCAGTTTTGATTTTATTTAAGCTCAATGAAAATATATACACCTGAAATATCTTGGCATGCATGTGATGCAATATATAGCGTGGATTTTGACCCTCTTTTTAGTAAAAACATATTCGCAACATGTGGACTTGATCATTATATTAGAGTAAATTATTTTTTGAAGTCCATTGTAAATTTTAAATCTAGATATGGCTTTTGGAAGAAACTAATAACGATAAAGATTTGAAAATTGAATTTCTTTCCGAACTAAATAGACATCAAAAACCTGTTAATATTGTAAGGTACAGTCCAGATGGTAATTTCATTGCTTCAGGTGATGATGAGGGCATAATTTTTATATGGAAACGTTTACCTACCAGAATCAAAAAGGTTGAATATAATGTATCATGGTCAGTTTATCGCACATTGAGGTAATTACAATAAAACATTAATATATAATTTATATATAGAGCCCATTTACATGATATATGTGATATTTCTTGGTCACCAGATAATCAATCTTTATTTTCTGGATCACAGGATAAAACTTGTATAATATGGGACATTAGCAAAGGTATGTTATAAATTGAATTATGTTTTATCTTAAAATCAGAAAAATATATCAACTTGTTTAATGATCATAAAAATTTTGTACAAGGTGTTGCATGGGATCCTCTTAATAAATATATAGTTTCCTTTAGTCAAGACAGGTAAATAATATTTACAGCTTTGTACAATATGAATATATACTAGAACATGCCGTGTTATAAATTTAAAATCTAAAACCACAGTTTATAAAATTGTTAAAAAAAATGCTGTTTCTTGGGGCAACCAAAATATAATTAAAGGTGATATGGATGAATCAAAACACAAAGTGCTAAGAGAAATATAGATTTATAATAATGCATTATTTAGATAAATAGTGCCCACTTTTTTCAAGATGAAAACATGAAATCATTTTTTAGAAGGCTAACATTTACACCTTTTGGTGAATTATTATTAATACCTGCAGGCTGTATTGAGACTGGTAAACAATTTAAGCCAGTTACTTACATTTTTAGTAGGAATAATATGAAGATGCCAGGTTTTATATTTAAATTATTATTTAAATTTCTTTTTTTAAAAAAAATAGTTGCATATATTCCAAACTTAAATAGATATTCATCTGTAGTTAAATGTTGCCCTATTATATTTAAATTAAGAAATTTGGCTAATCCACAGAATACATGCTATATTAAGTTTAATTTTTTTGATTTAAAAATACTAACAATTATTTCAGTCTACCTTATCGAATAGTCTTTGCAATAGCATGTGATAATGCACTAAGCATTCATGATACTCAACAACTGAGCCCAATATTAATGATTAAGGATCTTCATTATTGGTGGATCAGTGATCTATCATGGTAAAATATAATACACATTTTTGTAATATCGGTTACTTTTAAATATGGAAATTATTTGAAATAATAGAATCAGTACATAGAATATAAAAAATCTTATAAGCTTGAAACATCTTGTTTTTTGGAAATGACAGTTTGCAATGCTCGATTTTGGCTCACTATCTTTTAACAGGTGTCCTATTAGCATCAACCTAGCCTGTACAATTTCTTCCAATCAATTATGTTATAAACTGAATAAGTTATTTAACACGAAATCAGACTTGTTTCATGCAACATCTTTAAAATCTTTGCATGGTCCAACCTAGATTTGATAAAAAAAAATTGGCCCAGCCTGGATTTCTTTAGAAACAGTCTGGGTATGTAAATTTTCTACGCCTTGACTTTTCAAAAAATCTAAATATACCTACCAATTGGGCATTTTATATATCTTTTTATGTTAATATGTAATAATTTTTCAAATTATTTTATCTTCCTGTTTGTTGTAAAAGGAGTGAGTTTGAATCACCACACTTTCAATTTGACTGGTCAATGCTATTTCCCTTATTTCCTGAACTTTTTGTAGTTTAATAAGTATTTTATATAAGTGTCAGTTATTTTGAGCATACATAATTGCCTGAATTTTGGACAGAGAAAAGGAGAGATAAAATGATACTTATCTTAAATAAAATTTTCATATTGACTGTTTCTTTGTTGCTTTTAATTCAAATATCACCTAAAATAATATTTTACTAAAAATATTTTTTAAGGATCTAAAAAATAGAAATATGATAAGTGAGAATGTGATATATTGTTATATGATACTGTACCCAATTTTTAAATATATTTCATTTATTTTTAATCTTTATAAATAATAATGGCGATTTAAAATATTCGGCCCAGACTGGGTATTGTAAAAAATTTTTTTTAAAAAATACCGCTCTGCTCTTGATGTATAAGTAGAGCTAGTCCGTTCAATCGATTTTCTAATATCGTACTTCTGAGATAGATTTTTAAACTCCGTAATGAAGAAAAGGTTCTCTCATTTAAGTGGGGCTAGTTAGTAATATTTGGAAAACTCCAAAATATTTTTAGTATGCAATACTACCATAGCGTTTTTTGAAGGATTGATATTCTATTATAATTTAAATTTTGAAATTATTTGGCCTTCAGAAACATTTATATCCCCTGAACATAATTGTGCGAAATATTTAATTTTTTAAATATCAAGATTTGATATATCCTCAGTCCATTTCCAAACAAAAAGTTTTTTCAAAGCGTTTACTGATGCATTTCGAATTTTTAATTCCAAACAATAAACGATTTTTATTAACAGTTGATTTCTTATGTAACAAAGTATTTTAAATAATTTGTACCAAAAATTACTATATCCTAAGAAAAGGGAATACATTCCAATGCAAAAAAAATCGACCCTCGTATTGAATCTAATAATAGATCAGCTTCAGATTCCCATTTTTATATTTCTCCAATAGATCAAAATAGGCTCTTTCACAAAATGCTGTTTGATGTCGAAGGCTTCATCCTGTTAGGCATGCTTTTGGGTTTCTTTTTTTTTGTAGCCCAAGGGTCAGAAATGTTTGCATTCACAAATTCTGTCCCTTTGGATTTCTTAACATTTCATACACTCTAAAATTTTTGCCTAATCATAGTTAGTAGAGAAATTAAATGTAACTTTTTTGGTTAATAAAATTTTCTTATATCCTTCATTGTTTAAGGCTTAAAAAATGTAAGAAAATATACTTTAAATTTTCATGAGATAAAATATAAATATACAAGAAATAAATATTTAAATTAATGCTAACTTTTTTCATAAAATTTAAAATAGAATACTTTACAATTTATTAAAACCTCATATATTTTTTACTATTAGGGGGTAGGAGAGCTGACTAAGCGTCTTTTTTACCGTAGAAATTTTTCGAGTAATATTAATTTTTATGTATATTGCAAAATTGAGAAACAATTTATTTTTACACCTTAAACCTTTATTTCTTTTGATTGCAATAATATTTCATTTGAAATATATGTTGTCAAATAGTTGCCTTTTAGTCCAATCGTTTTATATTTTATAAGTTCAAGCTATAAAGGGTTTTGAATTAAGCTATATTCACAAAAAAACGGGTTTACTCGGAGTTAAGATCTATCTTTTTTTTAAAAAAAAATTTTTTTTGTAAAATTTTATATAGACCTCGTCTTTTAATTAGGTTACAAAATCTAAAAATTTTTTTGAATAATGGTTAGTGGATAGAATTAATAAAACTAAATATAATTAAATAATAAATTTAGATTCTTATAAATCGAAAATTTTTTCCCGACATCTATAGGCCGATATATATAGAGGAGAGGGCCATAAATGCCACTCCATTTTTGTATATCTGTTTTTTTTATATTACGGAGATTAACCAAAATTTTTTACGATACTTTAAAAATGTATTTATACCGATATAAATTCTATAAGGATCCGACGATACATATATGAATACATTCTCTAAATTTATAACGAAGCGATACATAAAATAAAATTCGATACATTTTCTATAAAATATCATCTACTAAATATTATTATTTTATTTTAACAATATAACATTTTTAAAGTTTTTTTTATGAGTAATATTTTTAGCTACATTGAATATGTGTTCAACTGGTGAGTTGGAAGGAATTGTGGTGTTGTATTTAATAAATAATTATTTCATATAAATATTAAAAATGGCAAAATTTATATTCTATGTAGTAAAAGAATAAATCTTTGACTTTTATCCGGGTTTTATAATTTCAAGACTGGCCTAGATTTTTTTTAAATATATGGCTCAGCCAAGGTATTTTTAAAAAAAAAATTTTAAAAGCGGATTATTTGTCATATCACGATACTTTAATGACTCCTTTGATTAATATAGGTCCAGAGATGGTTTAACACTAATAGCTACATCAACTGATGGATATTTAAGCATCATAAATTTTGAAAAATTTGAATTGGGAGAACCATATAGTACAACTGATATAACAATCAATAAATGCTTAAATTTGAACAAATCATTTCAAGTACATATAAATCATAATATTTATTTTAGTAATTTAATATAAATTATATTGTAAGGAATGTGAATTGGAACCACTTATGTCACGAATAGGACTAGATCATATCAAGAATATCATGGGAAATCAATATAATTGCAAAAAGGATTTATTAAAACCAGGGAAACTAGAAATTCCTTTGAGTCATACACCTATTACTAAAGTTAAAGAACATATACCCACAATAGTTAAAAATAAAGATCATAAACCTTCAACCATAGTTAAAGAGCATATAACATCAACCGTAATTAAAGATCAAGCACCTTCAACAATATTTGGAGAAAATGCAATTTGTCCTATGCTTGAAGATAGTAACAGTATTATTATAATTGATCAAATCACTTCTCCATCTCCACCTAAAAATATCAAGTAAGTGAGATTTAAAATAAATTATCAAACACTTTATTTTTCATTAAAAATCTTATAAACATTAAAAATAAATTTGATATATTACACATAATATTTATAAAAAAATAATCTATTTACATATAATTTTTTTTTCCGCATAATTCAAATTGACAATAATTATATCAAGTAATTCCATCGATGATGCTATCATAAATGAAAAACAACAATTATCGCTGCCTAAGAAGAGAAGAATCGTTCCCATAACATTGCATAAAATTGAGATTTGATTTCATTTTTTCAAATTTATTTAGGTAAGTATATTACTGATAATAAGATTATTATATCTATATTTATGCAACTTATTTTTTATAATATTTATATTTTAAATAATTGTCAACAAATATATTATACACTTGATTATTGGAGTGCTCCAAAAAGATATCTTTTTTGGATAAAAGTATAGTTTGTTTTGAGCTAAATCGATTTTTATTTTGCTTTATTTACATATTATTTAATAGTTTACTTTACTAATTCATCAGAATAGAAGCAATAATTAATTTATAAAAATAATCAAAGCATCTCAATTTTAGTATTAAGAATTCACATTTTTTCAGAATTTTATTAGTAATAAAGTTATGTTAACATGCTTTTATAATGTTAGAAAAAATTATTAATTTAATATTATAATGCCACTTGGAGCAATCTCAACTTTAGTATTAGATATTTTAGGAATTATTTTAATGCATTAATCATTTTAATATGTTTTTATATTATAATTTAAAAATATTAATTTTGTAAAAATTAAAATCCACTTGTAGCAATTATTAATAGTTGCATTTTAAGATTGTAAAAAAAGATTATCCAATTTAAGTTTCATCTTTTCACTGGACAATGACAAAAATAATGTTGAACAAACGTTTGAAGCAATCTAACAATAAAGCAAAGATATATCATAAATTGAATTATTCAGAAGCTTCTTTCCATTTGTATATTTGCAATTGTTTTGAAGAGAGTCCGAGTAATAGATGATTTGGCAGATGATTTGTTATTGATAAAACATCCAAGATGGGATAAGTCAGTGTGTGCAATCTATGCCTTAATTTAGAGGTTTGTGCGTCCCATATAAATATCTAAAAATAAAAAGTACATAACATAAATTCCTTCTATATGAAGATGAGTGTTATAGAGAAAGCCAATTGTTTGTCCCCTTTGATTTACAAGAGAGAGGCTTACCAAAGATGCGTAAATTTGGATAAAACGCATCGAACTTTCTCTAGCAGATTTCAGGTAAAAACATAAAACTAGCTAAAAACAATTTAATTAACTTGTTTGCTTTCTTCATCCCCTGCGCATATTTGCAGAGACCCTCCAGCAATATTTTTCTTAGATATTACTTCGCCTGGTTTATAGTCCAAATTGCACTCTGGATTTATGAACATATGTGATTTGGTTAATAGTGTTTGAATGCTGCCACCTTTAAACGTGTGAATCAAGTTGCAATCAATAAATGGTATATTAATATTATTTTCTTGAGGAGATTGAGCTAGTTCGGCTTCAATCGAGTCGAGTGGTTCGGGTATCGTAAATAACTATTTTTAATTAATTATAAATGACAATATATAGAATATTAAATGTTATATATACATGTTATTTTTAAAAAATGTTATAGCAAATTTTACTATTATGACAAACAAATTTTTTTTTTTTGAATGGCCCTATATAAAATAAACAAAACTTGGCATGATGTTTTTTTTATATTTATTATCCAAATTTTATAACGCCAGCTCTATTAGGGCCAATATATGCCTTTTATAAGAAAAGTTTATAAATGATGTATTTAAGTTTTTTTTATTTAGGTAAAAAGTAACAGTATAAAATTCAAATAAATATTTTTTAAGATAATATTAATTATATTTTGTATATAAGAGTAAAATGAATCAATAATAATAATTTTATAATATTTTTTAAAAAATTTTTATGTAGCCGAGATCTTCAATCGATTTATGTTTTAGTAAGAATTTTAACCCAAATGGACAAATTCTTGAGGCTGAAATCTGATTGCTTCTTAAGAAATTTATTGTTTGCTATTAAACATGTCGCTTTTACTTCTGAAATTTATGATATCACTTGTAATATATTGATTATCATCACCTTGTAAAATAAAAATTCTTGTGATCCCTTTGATATTGAGGACCCAATAAATAAGCAGAATTGTGTTCATATATTTCTTTTTTTCAAAGATATTTTAAAAAATCAGGTCAAATACTCCAATTTCCGAATATGAAAATACAACAAATTGTTAAAAATATATTCTTGGAAGTTCAATCCAAATAAATATTTAATTTTTTATAATTTACCCTAAAATCCTTCAGTGCCTCACATAGATATTCCGATATCTTAACAATATGAGAACTGCTAGACACCCTTCGTACGACAAGTACTTCTCCAACACTCAGCAACTGAATGCCCAATTTAGACGATTGATATAACGCCTTTTGATTTTTGCTAGACTGACTATATAAACAATATATTGCGTCAAAAAAGGCTTTAAAGTGATTAACGCCTTAACATTTTATCTCGTCGGATATCGCTAATTCTTTAGTGTTAAAATGCCAGCGTATTCACCAGATTTCTTCTCAATCGTGAAACTGATAATCAATTTTTTTGCAAAAAAATTTCAGAAAACTCAGCGGGTTTAAGAAGATCTGGTAAGGCATGAATTATCCCTTTGGCATCTTTCGATCCAAGTTCAATTAGGTTTAGAAATTTAAGAGGACGCGGTTTTACGTAAAGCAAGGATGATTTATTTGACAACATAAGTGGATTCATCTACGATGATAGTAATTTTCAATTGAATTTTAATATTTTTCACAATTTTTATTTGCATTTTTTTCTATTAACAAGTCTATAGAATGAAAAATATGACCATCTAAACCATTGTGCTTTTTGTAAATCTATTAACGATTCAAAATCCACAAATAGTTAATTTGGTTTGCAAAATTTGGAGTATAATCTTGATTTGTTTATCAATGTGCGTAATCATAATTAATGCATGTTCTGGTTATAAAAATAATTTGTATTAATTTTTATACATGGACACGGTTAGTCAAAACTGGTATTATATTCCCCTATTGATATTGGATATTATTTTTCCAATTAAAATAGGGAAGGTAGGATTTTTAATTATAAATGTACAATTACATCAATATACTATCATTTTGTTTATAAAATATTTTAACGTTTGATAGCATACTTATCCTATCTTTTAACATTTATAATATTTACGTTCTATTATTTAAGTTAATAAACCTTTTAACTTAATATTTTTCTAAATTTTAATTAAAGGATGGCATAATTTTCTTTCATCAATATCATGATCTTTATGGAGATTATTATTTTTTAACTGATCATGGTGACATTCAATTTCGAACTTAAATTTTCTTGCACGATACCTTTTTCCCATTTTAAATTTATTATATAAGGCCATTATTGGTCCGATAGCATATTTTACTTCTTTTTGTGTCAAGGACGGAATCAATACATCTTTATTCTACCAAAAATATCTTCATTACAATTATTTTTAAAATAATAACATTAAAAAAGAAAAGTCGTTATAGATTTTTTTTGATTAAATAGTTAAATATAAAGGTAATAATCATTTCCTAACTAATCTTAGCACCTAAAAAAAATCCCATTCTCAAAGTTTTTTAATTTTAATTTTTCTGGAAATAAGAAAACACTGTAAATATTTTAATATACAAAAAAAAATTAAGTATAAATTTAAGGGCTACAAGATGAGATTTAATGAAATCACAATGTGCGCGATTTTACACTAAAGGTATACATTTTTCGATCTGGTATAATTAGCGCTCTAAAATTTATAACATAAATATGTGTCATGCCAGTTTCATTTTTTTTAAAAGATCATCCGAAACGCTTGTCGATTTCACATGATAATATTTATTTTTATCAATAGTTTGAAGTCTGAATATTTTGCTATTACAGAATGGTTTAGACATCTATTAACAAAATCTTGAGACTTGCGCGATATTTTTTGCCTAAAATATTGGGTAAACTGTTTATAAATCGAACCGTTTAACAACACTAATCATTACATACGCGAAAGATTCTTTTTTATTGCTGGACTAATACCTAACGTCAAAAGATATCTTTATATCTTACCTATCTTGATAAAATAATATCTATTCACAATTGATTTTTATATAATTTATGTATATTACCTAAAATATATTTTGTTTACATTAGAGATTTATTAAAATTTGTCAAAATAATATTGATGCGACTAGTAAAAAAAGATCTTGTTTTAAGAACATTTTATCACAAATCAATTTTCAGAGAATGTGAAAAAATACATATATTTGTAGGGACTTCTGCAAGATAATCATTGAAATTTGAGAATAGGTAGTTATGTTGACACTATTCTCATTTGGATAAAATTAGAGGGAGGTAGTTTTGATTTCCTTTTTTTGCTAATTTTGATTTGGCAAGAGGGGGTCGTGTTAGCAAAATTTTAGAGTATATGAGGTAAAATTGTCATTGGCTTGAAGGAGGTAGAATGCATAGAAAATATTTAAGAACTTTAATAATAATACAGAAGCTAAGAATGCCCAAATAAGTTATAAAAATATATTGGATTATAAATTAATTTTGATTTATTAAAATTTGTCATCGCGTCAACGAATGCCAAGAAAAAATAATAAGATATAACTTAAAATTTGTGCTTCTCGAATTCATAATCGAAAATTTAATCTCAAATTCTTGGAAAATCAAAATTAATTTTTTTTAATAGTCAAAAAAATATATAAAAAACTTGATATCTTGTAGTTCGATGTTTGCTCGTTGGTCGATAGGAAGATAAAACGTGCCTAGTGTATTTATCGTAATTGATATCAACCAAACTTCCTAAAAATAGTAATTAAAAGTTCATTAACCGATAACTTCATATCTAAAGATATGTTTGAAAAAATATTATTCAATAACCTTCAAGTTCCAGTAACTTTGGTGAAAAAATTAGATTAGAATTTTGGTGAAAGTAATAGCATTTGTCAAGTTGACCAACCAGAATTCCTCCATTACTAATTAAATATAATATAAGAAAATATATTTTTTATATGTACCATTTAGAATACGAATAGTATCAGTACTAGCCATAAGGCCAAGCAGTGACCCTTACAGTGGTAAGGGAATTACGAAACAACTGCTTCATAAAATATTACATACTTTTGAAGCAATTTTTCCAAATGGGAAAATTATGAACTCTATGATGAATACTTTCATTGCAATTTTTTTTTAAATAAAATTTTTCACATTTAAATTTCATTTATTTTACCCCCATAACCAAAAAAAATCCAGTCCCTTTATTGGTTATTAAAAAAATTACTACATAAAACATGACAAAAGAACAGATAATCTAATAGAAAGGGAGTTTGGTTCTTGGTTTAGAGGATACTAGCATTTATTTAATATTTTAAATACACCCTAATCCGGCTTTTCAATTTCAAACAATGCCCAGAAATGTTAACCAAAAAAAATAAACATTTAATATATCATTGGGCATCCAAAAATATACGGGATGTTAAATGGACAGATTATATTAAGGAAAAATATGAAAGTCTCAATTTTAACGAGACAAAAAAATTATGAAGGGGTAGCATTCAAAAATATTACACAGATTTGGAGTAACAGCAAGGTAATTTTTTATTAAATAATATATTATATATATACATATAATATTCAATAAAAAAAAGGGAATTCAATGGTATAATAAATATTTTTAAAGATTTATGATACATATTTTTAGCTTGCTTGTTAAAGTGTGCTAAAGATGCTATTTTATAAGAAAATATAATATCTTATTCTGAGTGATAATAATTATGATAATGATGAAGAAAATGAAGTTAGTTAATATCTTTTTCTAAAAATGTACATATATCTTCTAAAGGTGGTGCTATTAATATTTAACGAAAAAGAGTAATGATCAAAGTGAAGCTGATTAAATCTCGATTTCGATGATGAAACATTTTTTTTACATAATATAATATTTTATCAATGGAAACATCATTATTTACAGAATTAGACATGATGCGTTAGCAATTTCTTTCTTTTTTCAATTAATATATCGAAATTATTGATTTTAAAAACTTTTTTTTCTTACAATTTTAATTTTCCTTAACTCTTTCATTCTTTTTTCTAAATATTCATATATATTTTTATGCCATTTTAAGGGCAAGTCCAAACTCAAAAAATAATAAAAATAAATGTATTTTAACATCATCTGTACAGTGGACAAGTAAGGCTAAAATTCCTAAACCTTCATTTTGTTTTTGACTTTGAACGTACCATAAATATAATAATTTGTTTGCAATTATATTAATCAAAATCATATTTTTATAAAACAATAAATTGAAAAATTATATTCTCAATTAATCAAATTTTTTATTTATAGGTTACATATGAAAATATGTTATTAATATAAAATCCCTAGATCCTTAAAGAAGATTAAGACGCGAGTGTAAAAAGATGCTAACGTTGTAGCAATTGTTGGTATGAATAAAATGTTGGAAGGTAAAACATAAGAATATATGGCCTTAACTCTAATCATAATATAATTTCAATATTTTTATAATAGATAAAGTTTAATAAAGTTATTGGCTATGGCCAACCTATATATGTAATCATAATAGAAAATTAATTTGTAAAACTTCTCCCAAATTGACAATTGCACAAAAGGGCAAATTAAATATGTATAATAGATGTCGGTCCGGCCAGAACAGGCCGTGAAAATTTTCTATTGGCCTTTATGACCGAAAACTTTTTTCCAGACCTAGCCCACAGCTACCCCTCTAATATATAATAATAATGTATATCCTAACTGTATTTAAAGATGTCTTTGTTTTTCTCCTTATTCCATTCCTAGTAAGAAAAATGATGACAATATTTTTATACTTAATAATTTTGACAAGATTGGAAATAATTAAAATATATTAAAAGTAGGAATGGAAAGAGGAGAAAAAAACGGGAATTTCTCCACTAAATTAGATATAATAATGCATATAAACTTAGAGGGATTGCAATGAATGTCCGGGGGATCGATATCACGCAAACATACTATAGGAGATTTAGACATTTGTTGACATTCGGTTAACTGACACAAATGTGTGGCGGTGTTTCTTAAATCGAACATTGATATTATTCCGTTAGATGAACCAATGTAAAATTGGTTCAAATTGTTGCCATTCCAGCAACAACTCCAAGACGGAAACTCTGTGTAGTATCTAAATAAATGAAAAATGTGAAGAATTTTTTTATATAAAAAGTATAAGATCATAAAATTTTTATGAATGAAAAATTAATTGTAAAAAAATAAAATAAACTATGGAACACAACAGTAAATTTGAGTCAGTCATTAAAATATTTGCAAGTTAAATAATTTTATTTGCAAATAATTAAAAATTGGCGACTCTTAAAACCAACCCATCGGCTTACTGAGTGGCCTAATAAAGTCATTTTTTATGCCAGCACGAGCTCAGAGTCATAAAACATAAACCTTTATTAAAAAAATACTTTCACCAATATTATTTAGTCTAAAGGCTAAATATATAACCTTTGTATAATTGTATTGCTATTCATGCTAGTTAAATGTACACATTTATCCAAAGATACAGAGAGGAGTAAAGTTTCGTTTATAGAAGATGATGATGTTTGGGAAGGATGGCTATTGAATGAAAGGTCTTTGATAGGTTTGTCATGGATACCTACATATTCTCCTAATTTCATGTCTAATATGTTGACCTTTTTTAATGTTTAAAATAGAAATTAAAATATACTAATTTTATTTATAATAATATAATTGAATAAATGATAGTCAACATCTAGCTATGAAAAATTTAATAGATTTGGTTTTAATTATAATTTGATTCCGACCAAAATGAAAATTATCGGGCATCTCTTTGTTGAAAATCGCTTTAGAATATATCATATAACAATGCTTCTCTCTTCTGGGAGGGGGGTATTTTATATTGATTTTTTAATTAGTGATAAATTTGCTAGTAGATTATTGGAATTAGAATATAGAAAAATCAATTTACTTTTTAATTTAAAAAGCTCACTCTATTAAAATAACTTGGTAACTAATCTAAGATTTAATACTTACTAAATTCTTTTATCAAAACAACGATACCAGAGAGACTTGGGTGGCCTAGAGCAATGGTGGCCCTATTTAAAGTTCATTTTGTCTAATTATATTAAAAAATTTCTAATATTTTATTTAATTTATAAAAAAATACAGAAAATAAAATTTTTATATTAAAATAATTTTCCAATATTTTTAAACTATAAAAAAATACATAAAACAAAATCTTTGAGATATCACACAAATGTTTATTTAACTGTAATATAAAATGCACTGTAAATTTAAATGTAGGAGATATGTTTACAACCAAATTGTACTTGCTTTTTTTTGTTGTTGCGTTATCATTTTCAATGAAAATTAGAGATAAAGAGTCCTGAGTGATGCACAAACCCAATATTTTGACTAATTTAACTTTAAGCAAAGGTGATCGGAATTGTTTGCAAAATTCTTAGGACAATCAAAATATTATGAAATGCTTCCGTTAGCTTAGGATAGTCTAAAAAAATTATGGCGTTTATGGTATGTGTGGGGATAATATATTAATCAGGGTTTTCAGTTTGATCATTAGACCTAATTCATTAATGCCACTTTCAAGTGAAACTTAGTCTATAGTAATTGCACTGGACATAAAATATTTAAACTGCTCAAAACTTGATCGAGCAACATGTTAAAAAACTTCAGATATTTTGTAGTTAGCGTGATTGCTGGGAAATATTCTTCTCACAAACACATCTCTAACTCACCTGCTGTTTTGTGGTGATGTCAAACTAAACCAAACCGTGAACCGAAAAAATCGCAACTATACCGGAGCTGTTATAAGAATAATCTAAAAGGAGAGAACCGAACCCTTAAAACACTTCCTGGTTCATAACGGTTTTTGAAATTATGTATATTCTTTGATTGGGAGATTTTTCAAATCAAAGTTATTACAAACTTATGAGTGCATATTTTAAAAAAACATATAAAGAAAACAAGCTAAGCTCTTAAGTGAATTTTTTTAAAAATTAACTTTCTTATAATTAAAACTTAAAATCTTTATTCTTTATTAAATTTAAATACTATTAGTTTCGTGTAATATTATCATATAAAATAAAGTTGGAAAGGTTGTTTGAAAAAAAAATCTTAAATTTCTTTTTTTAAATTTGATGGCCCTTAAAATATCGAGACCCACGGCGGTTCTTGCTGGAATCCTTTATGCACAACCCAGAAATACACTTAAATGTAAGTAAATCATATTAAAGAATTTTTAGTTATTATAGTAATTCATTTTTTTTATTAAAGTTCATCATAGAAAAATCCTTAGTTTCTAAAAATTATAGTTTCTAAATGAAAAAGTGGAATATAGTAGTTAACAGTTATAGCGAATATAAATATTATATTTTTTTAGAGACATGCAGACCGGCCTTGAAAAGGCTGTAAAATAGTATCTTTTAAAAATCTGGGCAGGGCACAAAAATAAAACAATTTTACGACGCCGACTGAGTTAAATGGAAATTTTTTCTTAAAATGGTCTAAAAAATTTAACCCATCGGTCTGATATTTATATATAAAAACAGATATTTTTTAAAAAAATTTATTTGAATAAGTAATATAATAAATCCAGATTAAAGAAAAACCTTTTTAACTCCAAATTTGGATACAATAGGGGAATCATTGCCTTGCGAAACAGCCAGAAGGTTCATTGATGGATCGTATGCCATAACCCTACATGAACCATCCTTGCTTATGTCTAAAGAATGTTTTAAATGATATGTTTGATTCCTTGAGTTGCTTTCAATGTCAAAGGATGAAGTTTGTATACTTTAAAATAAAATGGCAAATTGTAAGTAAAGCATGTAAGTTTATGTATATAAAATTCGGAAATAGGAGATAATATTTAAATAAAATTGAAAAATAAATGGTAAAAACTTGTATGTGTTTGTAAGGGTTTCTAGTTGCTTTTGATACAAAGAAACTTGGTTTCTTAAAGAATAACATTCTTTCTGAGTCATCTCCAGCATAACTTTTGATTCTAAGAGTTTTAGCTCCATCCTATATTTAAGTTCTTTTTCTTTCTCAACTAATTCTAAAGCTTTATCTTTTTCCACTGTATCAATAACCTTATAACAATGAAATGATTTTTTTAAAATTATTAAATAATAAATTTTATTTTTACTTTTATGACCCTGGCATATAAAATTCGAATATCCTTAATTCTTGACTTAGCATTACACTGGGGACATTTGTCATTATCCTGCAACCATTTTTTTATGCAATTAAACCCAAACAAGTGTCCACACTTTAAACAAGCCAATCTATGTTCTCCATAATTTGTAAACGAATCAAAACATATTGCACAACTCTGAAAAATAAAATATATTATTATATTAAAAATATATCCATCTGAACACGTTATTTCGATTTTTAATATTATAATTCGATTATTAGAGAATAGGGATACTCACTGCATCTATCAGTAAATAGGGCTGTAAACATTTTTTTTTAAAACGAATTTGCATTTCGTTCATCTAAATAAATTTGCGTTCAAAATTCATTTGAAAACTAAAAAAACACGTTCAAATTCGTGAATTCCGTTAATTCTTATATTAAAAAAAAGATTTTTCTTAAAAAATATGTATTTAATATAAATAAATACGTAATATAATAATAGTATGATAGTCGTTGGATCTAAAATTTTGATCGTGTAATAGAATAATGTAATATATAAAGCAATAAAAAAAGATTTAAAATACAATATTTATCAATTAATATGTTTTTCTATTAACTTTTGATGAAAATTGTTTTTCAAAATTTTTATTAAATAAACTAGAATGTTTTGCAGTGAAAGAAAAATGGATTTGCTATGCTAAAAACGTGTTCGTTTGAGCTGAGGATTGATTTGCAGTGTTATATTTGATAAAATAGATCAATAATCATAATTTTCCAATAATTCTTTGTCAAAAAAAGATATGTGAGAAAACATTCTGATCTGAAGCTTCTACATTTGACTTCCTACAAATTTCTTTAAATATAATACTAGTTTATTTATAATTATTTAATTCTGCGAAATCCCTATCCAAGGGCATTCAAGTTAAAATACCAATGTGTTATATATGAAGTAATACTGATCTTCATATATATATTGCTTAAATCTAAAAATATTAAAATATAAATTTAAATGATTTGATGATAAGTCAACTTTTATTAATCCCACTTATGAACACAACCTAGTAATACAAAAGACCCAACTCAAGCCGACTCCAAAACGGCTTAGGTGTTCAACCTAGGGCTGGGGCAATCTTCTAACTTGCCTTACTACCCCCCCCCCCATGATCCGGAGTCTGTCTAGGTCTTGTGATCAAATGTATATCGAAATCTTCAAATATCCAACTGCGACTCATATTCATCCTAAATTTGTGGCTTAATAGTATGTATTACCTTAATTCCCTTTTCAATTCTGACATATACGCTAGTGCGGGAAAGAGGTACATGTTATAAGCTGATGTCCCCAAAGGAGGGGAAATAATGAAGGGCCGACGTCGGGTGTTAGTGAAATGATAGGACGCGTCAAAGAGTGGAATAGCCGGGAAAACGGAGGAGCCGAAAGCATCAATGTCGAGCTTCGGGGAATGACTGGAGAACACGAGTCCCTAAGCGGAATATCCGAAGAGATGGCCTGGACGTCGGCATGGCGCAAAGCCGTAGCAGATACTGAAGGGATGATTATATGAGGAACGAGAGTCGGGTAGAGTAACCAACAAGGATCCCAAAGTGGTGAGAGGCACGTGGGATGATCCCATTCCTCGATGGGTTGAGAGGGGGTGAATGAAATTAGGGTATTTCATGTCAAATCGACCAAAAAAACGAGATTTTCGGACGATCATCTTTAAAATAAATGAAACTTGGCATGATAGTTATCTATTTTGTATATTTTAGTAAATTCAAAATTTTAGAGTGCTAGCTCAACCAGATCCAAAGATATATGCTTCAAAGTGGAAAATCGCGAAATGCGTGATTTCACTAAATCTTGTTTTTTTTTTAAAAATACTTAAGATAGAGCGACAAATTATATATCATTTTATAGCCCTTAAAATTTTACATTGGAAAATATCGAAACAAAAATAAAATTCCAAATGTTATTATTCCGGTAAAAATAAAAAATTAACATTGGGAAGGGATTCTTTTTGGGTGTTGATATTCTTAAAAATGTTTATTATTTATATAAATAAAAAAGGTAATATAGATGACGTTATATTCAAAAATCATTATAATATAATATTTTTAATAAAAATATGAATTGTATTGGAATTAAAATTAAAAACCAATTGAGTATATCTAGACCTGTGCGCCGGCTCATAATTATATTTATGTCATTATAGAATTCAATTAATCAAAAATTCCAAAAGTTACCATAATTTTACATATTTTTTAAAATGGATGCATCTACATTTAATAAATATAAAAAATAATTTTAGTATTATAACAGTAAATAATAAAAATCATTTGTGTGGAAGTTTTTTGGTTTCTTACACTTAAAAAGAGATAATAAAACAATTTCCATAAATTTTGACAAATTTTATTGTAATTGTTGATTAGGAAAAGCTATTGTAGACGATGATAATTCAAATAAGCCATTTATACAGTATCTTTTTTTAAAATCATTTTCTCATATAAGCCAAAATCTTTAATAAATTAAAAAATATGTTCTTAAAATATAATCTAAAAATTCAACTTTTCTATCAACATTAGCAAAGGAAATTTGTTAAAACACTTAACTTCTGATCATAATATTAAAGAAGATACTTCATTCAAATCGCAAGATTTAAAAAAATATTTTATATCCAAACCAAAATTTCAGATAAATTCTTAAACCTAAATGGCTTCTAGCAAGAAACTATGTGTTATTATGTTGAACTGACTTATTACCTTTTCAATCAATTGATAATATAGGAATGAAAAATTTTTTGAAGGTGTCAAATTTATAAAAAAATTGATATATTATCTATAATAGATCTACCTTTATGTTTTTATTGTTCTATTGAAATAGCATGGGCTACTGAGGAAGGTTTACAATAGTTGAATTTCATAGCCATGATAACAATAGATTACACATAGACATGAATGATATAAATAATATTGGATAATTGCATATTTATTTGCCCTAATCATCTTTGTTTCTGTGTAGCTTTACAACCCAGAATAAATTTTTAACAAATTAATTTCTTCTTGATAAATTCTCCCTAATTTGTTTGTTTTCTAATATAAATTAAAGATATAATGATTTTCTGTTATAATTTTCAAAATACTTATTTTAGAAATATAAAATTATCAATTTTAATTCTGATTTGCCAGGCAGGACAACACTAAGCCGTACTGCTTTTAATGATGTTTACCTATCAATGAAAGCACATGTACAAGAACAAATTAACTCAGGGTCAAAATTTTGCGCAATTACATTCGATATGTGGATAGATTAATATAAGAAGAAACTATATTACATTTACACTTCATTTAATAAATGATAATTTTGAAATGATTTATACTTTAGCAACTCATTATATAACCCAAAAACACACAGGTGAAACAATTCTAACTGAGATTGATAAATTAGAAGAGGAATTTAATTTAAAAAAGAAAAAAATACAAATGGTCACAGATGCTGGACCTAATGTTAGAAAGGGTGTTCGATTTATGAACATCACTTATGTATGGTTTACAGAATCTGGTAACAGATGGTATTAAAAAGGTACCCTTTGTTGAAAATCTCATAAAAAGAATTAGAGAATATTACTGCTCTAAGATATAAAAATGCAGAGGTTGAATTTGAATTTGAGGCAGATCAAAGAAAATGCCTAAGTACAATATAACATCAGACATGTTAGATCTTGATAGCACTTATCCATATTCACATGCCCGTTTTCAAATTGGTATATCCAATGCTAACAATAATAATTCCACGCATATGAAAATTTTAAAATTAAATGTCCCAACACGTTGGCATAGTATATTAATTATGCTAGAAAGCATATCTAGATTAAATAAAAATTTAATTAATAATGTTTTGAAAAGAATTAGGAAACACTTTCTCAAATTATCAAACTATGAATCTGATCTGTTAGAAGAACTATTAACATTTCTTACAAAATTCAAAAACTGTCGAATTTCTATCAATACAAAAGCCTAAGTTAAACTTGGCGTTACTTTTTAGAATTAAAATTGAAACATATTTAATAGTAAATGATAGTAATAGTTCTGAAATCATTTCACTTAAGGAAAATATGCAAAAAAAATTTGCGTTACGATTTCCGGTTTGTGATCTGCAAGAATGATATATAAATATATTCATTTATTTAATTTTTTATTTAAAAAATTACTTGTTATTAACTTCTCTTTTAGACCCAAGATTTCAAAAATTGACAATTGTGTCAAAGTATATAATAGAAGAAAATAGTTCAGCTTCCGAATTTATAATAAAACATCTAAACTTATAGAGAATGTTGATATTCAGGTAGTAAATATAGTTATTGAGGATCAAGATGAATTATTAAATTAAAGTTATTTGACAAAATTGGCAATTAAACATTCAACAAATACAAATTATGATTCCACGTTAGGTGACTTAGAAGAAGAATGTCACATTCTTCTTGGAAAACGACATTTACGTGATATGGATGTTCTAAATTTTTGGAGAGAAAAAAAGAGTGAGCTTCTCAATCTTTACAGGCTCGCCAAGAAAAATTCTTTGTATTTCAGCTACTAGCACACCCAGTGAAATAGTTTTCTCTACCGTTGGATTGACGTTGAATTCAAAGAGATCATCATTATATCCCGAAATTTAAATAAAATAATTTTTATACATGTTAATTATAAAATCACGAAATCGATTTTGGATTTATGAGTTTTCTCTTAAATAGATTTTTACGAGATATCTGTAGAATATTTATATTTATTATTTTTTTAAAAAATTATTAAGCAATTAAAAAATTATGTTATAAAAATTTATAACTGCGTCGATTTAAGCCGCTTTTGCTGACGGTGGCTAAAAATCGGTGCGCCGCCGGCCTTCGATTAGATTTTTGAAAATTGTGCCAGGCATCAGCGCACAGGACTAGATAAGATTAAAACAAGAGGTATTTTTTTAATATATAATTTTAAAATGTTTATTTAAAATATAGAGTCTTTAATAACCATATCCGTATGGGCTGCTTTCTTATTTATTGCCTATGGACATCATATTGGTTATACTCATTTAAATTTTAATACCAATGTAAATATTTTTATTAAATATATTATATTATAAAAAATATTTAATATTACACCATCTATATTATCTTTTTTTATTTATAAAAATTTTAATAAAATTAAAAAAACAAGGCTATCGAGATATTAAATAGTTTAATATAAAGGTAATAATTTTAGAGAATATCAACACCCAAAAAAATCCCTTCCTAACAATGTTTATTTTTTATTTTTACCGGAAATACGAAAACATTTGGAATTTTTAAATTTTTTTCGATATTTTCCAATGTAAAAATTTAATGGCTATAAAATGATATATTATTTGTAACTCTATCTTAAGTATTTTTTAAAAAAAACAAGATTTAATGAAATCACGCATTACGCGATTTTCTTGAAGACGTATATTTTTAGATCTGGTGGAGCTAGCGCACTAAAATTTGAATTTTATTAACATTTACAACATAAATAACTAACATGCCAAGTTTCACTCATTTTTGAGATAGTCGGCCGAATCACTGGTAGATTTGCTATGGAATTATCCATTGACGATTGGTCAGGAGAATAGTTGACGGCCACTTCTCTGACAGAACAATTTATAGATTGGTTGAAATATGACGTATTTGACTCGGAACTCGAATTTTGGGGGAGGACAAGGGATTTTTGTAAAGGGGGATTTGGGTGAACTAGAGATTTTATAAATATATATATCAATTAGGTTTGTGTTTATAAAGAAGTAATTATTTTATCAATTAGTTTAAAATCAAATATAGTTTACAATTTTTTTTATGTAAATTGGTAAGTGTCATATAATTAATTGTGTTGAGGAACGAGATGAGCTAAGCGACACTAATGAACTTATTTAAAGGGTATTTAATAAAAAATCATATCAAAACCAATTTTTTACTACGATTGCTACATAAACAACCAAGTAATTTCATTTTTAGATTTTATTATATTTTTTTATGATAAATTACTGATATATGTATATTGTATATATAACAAATTGTAATAAGCAAATAATATAATATATATTCCTACATATTTGGAAAATGTCTCCCAGGCATTTGAGGCATAGATACATCCTCAATTTGCTGGGTCTTAATCTATCCTATTTTTGTCATTGTGTTTCCTGCATGGGTAAAAACTCGTTCGCTAGGGACACCTGAAGATTGATGCAGCAAATAATCACAGGCCATTTGTCATTTTGCAATAAATAAAAAAGAAACAAATACAAATGGATCATAAATGGGTTTTATTTTTTTAAATCAATTCTTTATTTTTAAGATACTCATGAATTTGTAAAATATAATGTTATTGTATATGAATAATATTGGCTTTTTACCTTGTAAAATAGTTGGCATTGATTTTCAAATATTTCAAATATTGCCCTTTAACAATGGCTCCAATTTTAAAATTTCATCCGTCGAATATTGAATGGCAGTCAGTGTTGTTAAAATATACACTACTTTTTCAGTAGCGGTAGCTTTAGCTGGCTACTTTTTTTAGAAAATAGCGATAGCCGTAGCTCGCTACTAATTTAGAAGCTACTTCGCTACTATCAATTTTACATAATAAATACATCTAAAAAATATTTTTTATTAAATCTAAAATTATAATCCTTTTATTTAATTTAATTTTGAAATTTATATTTAAAAATATACATTATAAATGTAGTTAGCATTATAAATCTAGTTATTAAAAATGTGTGAGATTGTTGAAGATAGCGAAATTTCTTTGGAAAATGAGAAAAATATAGATTATCCTTTCTATAATATTAATATAAAATTCAAAATTAATATATTATTAATTACCTTGTGTATAATAATTATATTTTTAAAATCTTTATTTACCATAATTTAATGCTATTTTAATATTTTTTTATAAATGAATCTAAATCTCAGATAAATTTAAATTTTGAAAATTAAAAAGGTATTCTTCTTTTTTTTATAAATACAATCGCTTTATATAAATTAGATCTCCAGAACTGTATGATGATGATAATGTAATAACTGCTATCGTTCATCCTAGTTTCAAGTTAAATTGGCCATACAATAATTTAACTGAATCTAAAGGGCAACTTGATAGGCTGATGATAACGTTAAAAAATGTCATACCTAACCACGATACTAATACTATAGCAAGATCTTTTTTTAAAATAAATAATAATATTATTGAATCTCTAGATGCTTTTTTAAAATCTAAAAATACTCATTTAAATATTTTTATGATTTTTTTCATATAAAAAGTGTGTTTATTAAATTTAATACTGCGCTGAGCTCAAGTGCTAGTGCTGAACGATTATTTAGTATGGCAAAGCTTATACTTTCTGATCATCGCTCTAGAATTGGGGATGACAGTACCGAAATGTTATTATTATTAAAGTGCAATAATAAATAAATTATATATATATATGTAACAAATTATAGTCATATTTTTTTACCAATATTTTATTTGTGGAAATAAAGTTACGTAAAAAATATTTTTAAAAAAAATCAAAATAGCGTAAAAATTAGCTAATAGCGCGCTACTCATTTGAAAACGATAGCGTAGTTTTAAAAGTAGCGTTTAACAACACTGATGGCAGTAGAACTAAAAATAGATAAAATTCTCTGCATTATTTTATATAAATAACTTCACCGATTTTTTAACGATCTTTCGGCATAACATACTTTTTAATACTATATTGTGAAATGCTAATTGATATTGAAGCAGAAGCTGGATAAAAAATATCATAATGTTAATGATTGAATGTATCATCTCTTAAAAATGATGACAATATCTCATTTTTAATTCTGAGATCCAAGACAGTAAAAACATATGTGAAAAATTTATCCAATTTTACATGTACTTGTTTGTCTTTATTATCATAACATTTGTGGTTAATATTATGCACTGAGGATTATCAGAGTCCTTTACTTCATTAAGATATTCTAGTATGTTAACTGATTAGAAAATAGAAATGAGGTAAAAATTTTTAAATTAATTTTAAATATTTATTTCCTCGCTATCCATAAAGCACTCTTCCAATATTATTTACTTTGTTAGCTCTTTAAAATCTAAGAAATTTTGAATTCTATCTTGTTATATAAGGTAATGGAATTGTAACACCTTTATTGGTTACTGTCCTAACATTTAACATATAAAGTTATCAACTAAATTTAAGAGTGATGATATCTTCCATTACATTTGTCACAATAAGGTTAACTATGTGGACTTGGCACCTTAGTTATACTATTTAAGGTAGTGACGCTGAATTCTGATCCTAGAGATTCTTATTGCGGTATTATTGTGACTGATAAAAATGACTATACCAAAAATATTATATTCATTTAGATATTTACAAATCCTATCTGACCCTCAGTTGCTTTGTGAGGATGTGGAATAACTAATGTCTAATAAAATATTAAAGTATTTATAGTCGCTTATAAAGTATGCGGTAATGGCGCAATAAACAACATGATAACCGTTATAAAATATAAGATATAGCACGATGGAAGCTCAGGGATAAAACCATGAGAGTTTAGATTCTGGACCAAATGATAACATAAGCATGATGCAAATATGAATTTTTAAAATTTAAATTTATTTTTGAGATTTTCTGTCATATCTCCTCCAAATTGGATGATTCACAATCATAATCCTCTAATTATAATTCATATCAAATAACAAATCTTATACAAATACCAAAATACTTCAATTTACTCCCAAGAAAAATCACAAAAGACGCAATTCTTGTAAATAGGACTTCAGTATAAAAGTTACCAATAGAAAAAAACCTTTTTATTCTATATTTTAGTCTCTAGTCATAAATTTATAGAATTACGCCTGTTTTTTTAAATTTTTATAATATAAAATGAAAATCAATTTATAATAAAAGAATTTATTGCATTTCTATATTATAACACTCCAACCTAAATCCATAATTTGTAAATCCTTGCAAATGCAGAGTTGGGCAGGTTCTCCGAAAAAATAATCTAGATACATATTCTTTATAATAAATGGACCTTTGATACAGATACAAGTATCCAAAATATCAAAAAGATACAAGATAAAAGATGCATGTATCCTTTAATAAATGAGAGCATCGTAAATACATGATATTTTTATAAAATTATCATCAAGAATAGTTTTACAATTTTAATTATTTATTGGTGAAATAAATTAATCAATGATGAGATAATTATAACAATCAGGCATTTTAATATTAGTTTTAGCCCAATCATGGCATAGAAAGGAAACTAATATTTTTATGGTAGTTGAAATATTTTTGCAAATGAGTATTTAAAATAGATTAAATTAAATCCTTATTTTTTAAGATAATCAATTTTTCAAATAATTTATTATTAAGCCTTTGCAGTTTCGGCATATTTAACATTGTGCCAAAAGTGAATAACTTTACAATTGGAGCTGAAGGTATTGATAAAATATTTTTAAAAAATTTTCTCAGAAGGCTAATAATTAAGCATCTCTAATGTATTTCGATGGTCTTTAAATAATTTAATACCTTCAGCTCAATGTTATTTGTATATTGAATTTAGCAACCAAAAGAAAATCAATTCTCATTTTTTTTATTAGATGTTAAATCAATTGGCATTATAGTTCGAGTTTGATTATATACTACTGGTACTACATTTAGGTCTTCTTTTAATAATATACTCTGATAGTATTTTCCACCTGAATATAGATATGATAATGATGACAAAAGTTTCATTGTATTCATCATCATAGGAAAAAATTTTAGCAAATCTTTTGCCCATAACATCTTGGACAGCTTCTAATAAAAGTAGGCAATATTTCAAACTTGAATTTATAAGTACCTAAGTCCCTTTTAATGATAAATAATGGACACTATTTTTCTATAAAATATACTATTCCTTTAGTTTGTCTAATACAATTGCTACAGGGGGTTAAAACCTTACAATATTCCTAAATATAAACTATGTCCGCTTATTTAAAAATGGGACATCAATTGTTTCAAATAATAAATTTAAATATGATTTATATTTTAACAGTGAAGTCATACTATCTTATAGACTATTCCACCTGGTTATACATGGAACTTTCAGCTAAATCTTCCTTATCTTTTCAGAAGATTAGGTTTTTTCTTATGAATCTCATAATTTTTTACAATTTTAATACTGCATAGTAAACCCTTCCAAGATTCCTTGAATTTGACTATGATGGCAATTAAAGATAAAGTATGGCAGGCACTGAGTAATATTGTTTTATTTATTTCATCTAAATATATATACATTAAAAAAAATTCTGTACTAACCATCTTTGATTTCGTTAATAGACAGTCATTCCTAAAAATCATGTCAAGATTATTTAATTATACATCATATTCGGTAAATGAGAATGTGTTTCAGGCATTCTACGACATGCCAAGGCTATTGACTTCCTTCAAGGGTATCTCGTGTTCTTTGAAAATAATAATTAAGCTGTTATTCCCATAAAATTACAGGTTTTTTTAGACCACAAATCTGACATGCTGCATATATTTAATTTTTTGAAATACTTTTTAATTTTTGAAATACTTTTTAAAGTATCTATTTCATTCTCAAAAATTTCTTCTATACTTCTGCAAACACCTCCTTAAAAATATTTTAAATGATTCAACATTACTAAAAATATCTAGAATATCATATCAATTTAGGCTGTTCATAATAGGCTCTTTATAAACTCTAAGCAATATATTTACATATCCACTTTTATTTTGTATAAATATTAAGTTTGTTTTATTAATGGCATTAAATGAAGCTGATATAATGGGTTTAATCATTTTTCATAGTGGTAGAATTTTCTGGTTTTCTTCTGAGCTCTTTTAGATACAACCTATATTGGGTATAAATGCCTAAATGACATCTCTTATTTAAAAAATATATATAAATAATATACAATATGTTTACAAAATTTGTAGAGGAGTTTATCATTTTTGTTTGTACAGGTTTGATATTAAGCCTACATATAGTCTCTTTTGACCTATTATAATTTTGAAACATCTAAAATTTTAAGATTGGGATTATTTTTTTTATCTATCATTTGTAAATTTTCCAGCTAATTTTGGTTGTGAATAAATTTAAAAAATAGTGGAAAAAAATAAGGAAATTGATATAAGATTCCACATAAAATAAGATTATAATCTGTGATATGTAAATTTTTCAATCATGGTAATAAAAGAATTTTTGTCCATATCTTTTGTCAAGAAACTGAAAAAGATACAGGATTCTTTTTAGAATAAAGGATCTTAGATCCAGATACTAGTACCTTATCAAAAATGTCAAAAAGATACTTGAGTACAAGATATAAAAGGATCTTTTATCTTAGATACAAGTATTTGCGGTACTGCTCAATAATGCATTGAATGTGATTGGGAATTTTAACATATCACCTATCAAATCAATTTTATCAAAAAATGTAAATCTGAGTTTAAATATTTTTATTAATACTACAATCTTCAATATGATTATACAAAAAAATCTACCAATTAAATTATTTGATTTCAAAAATTTTAAAGATTTATTATATAAATATATCATTCTACTAAAATCTGGTGCAGAGAGCTAAAAATAAAATTAATATTTAATATAAGTCAAGTCAAAATAATCAAATATTCTGAAAGAATCTGCATCGGTATATCTGGGATGTCTTATTGCACCATTACTGTACACTTTATAAGCAAATACTTACATTAATATTTTACTAGACATATTAGTTTTTTCACATAACAAAGCTACTGATGTGTCAGTTATGATTTTATAAATGTCTAAATGTGTATAATATTTTTGAGTCTTTTTTATCAGCCAAGATAATGGCACAAATGTAGTAAATGCCATTGAGATTCTTGAGAATCTTAAGGATTATGATTCAGCATAACTGCCCTTAAAATGTATAAGGTGCCAAGCCCACATAGTTAACCTCATTGTGAATGATGCAATGGTAGATTTAGCACCAAATTTAATAAAAATTGCATAAATCAACTAAGATGCTAAATGAATTTAAGACAATGACCAATAAAGGTGTTACAATTTAATTTCCTTATATAATAAGAAGCAAAATTACTTATGCTTCAAAAATATAACAATGTAAATAATATTATATGATGATATACATTTAACGGGTAATAGAGGCAATATCAGAAATTACCAAACAATTCATAAATAATCTTCAGTATATAATATTAGCCCAAATGTTATGATAATAAAGACAAACAAGTATATAGCAAAATTAGATAAATTTTCCATGTGGATTCCAGAATTGAAAATGGAATATTGCCATCATTTTTTAAGAGATGATATTCAATAATAAATTTTGTTCATTAAGATATATTTAATCCTGCTTCAATATCAATTAGCAAAATATAGAAAATTACAAAAGTATGTCATGCCTAAAGATCGTTAAAAAATCAGTGAATGTATTTATATAAAATATTGTAGTGTATTTTTTATTTTTAGTTCTATTGCCATTCAATATTCGACAGATAAATTTTTTAACTATTTTATTAGAGCCATTGTTAAAGGGTAATGTTGATAATATTGGAAAATCAATGCCAACAAATTTCCAAAATAAAAAGGCAATATTATTCATATACAATAACATTATATTTTGCAAATTTTCTTAAGTATCTTAAAAATAAGGAATTGATAATAAAAGATATATAACCCATTAATGATCATTTGTATTTGTTTCTTTTTTACTTATCACAAAATAATTAAACTTTCAAAATGGCCTGGGATTATTCCAGTAAACTCTCATCTATTAGTGACGAGTCTTTTCCCGATGATCCATCAAATTGAAGATGTGTCTAGCCTCAATGTCTGGGAGACAATAATTCCAAATATGTGGGATTATATATTATATTATTTTCTTATTACAATTTGTTATGTTATGCAATATAAATATTTTAATAAAAAAAGTTGTATACCAAAAAATCTTGCCTTATCATAAAAGAATAAATAAAGGTTAAAAATGAAATTAATTGATTGTTTTAACAATAGCAGTAAGTACAATATTAAAATTGATTTTGATAATTTCACATGATTAAATACCATTTAAATATGCTCATAAATTTTGCTTGGCTCATCTATTTCTTCAACACAATTAATCATGACACTTACAATTTACATTAAAATAAATTATAAAAGTTTAACTTTATACGTTGAGTTCCAGATTAATTTTTTCAAAACCAAAAAATATTCAAATATCAATATTTATTTTTCTTAGAAAATAGCCAAATAATATAATAACAACTTAAGCTATAAGATTATAATATGATTATTATTAGGTTTCATTTTTGAGCATAATATGAAATTATCTAATCTAAGATTCAGTAGCAAAAATATCTAATGCCATTATAATAATTTATAAAATAAAAATAAAAGCAATTAACTAATTAATTTAATGGTTTGCACTCCAAAGCTGATCCAATTTTTTGGCTTGCAGTGCAAGGTTGATCAATTTTTTTAGGTTGAGTTCCATGGCTGAGCCAATTATTTCGGCTAGCCAAGGTTGAGCCAATTATTTTGGTTCTCCAAAGTTGAGCCAAATTTTTTGGCATGTCCCTAAGGTTGAGTCATTTTTTTCAACTCAGTCTCGAGGCTGAGCCGGCTTGAGTGGATCAATTTTCCATCACTAAACACATCTATTTGTGGTTGATAATAAAGTGTATTTTTTTGTAATATTATTGATAGACATCAAAATTTCTAAAATGGATGATGTAGTAACTATTAACTCCATGATCTATCATAATATTTTTATATTATTTATTTTTGTATTTGTTTTGAAATGCTTATTGAAATTAGTTGGCAAAGATATATGTGATTCTGAACCATCAGATATATCTATCTATAAATTTTTTTATAAACTTATAAATAATAAAATGTAAACCATATTATTGTAAAATAGACACCAATTAGAAAGGAAAATGTGCATAAAAATATTTTAAGAAAACAGGAGAAAAATAAAATAAAATTTTCTAATTTTTAAATAAAATTAACCTTTTTATTAAATAAAAACAGATAAGCATATCCATTAAGTACATATGGAATGTGTCACATGATAAAAAAAATATCTTCAAAATATATTATTAAAAGAAGCCCTAAATCTAGTAGTACATAATCAGACTACAACACCATCCAATTAAACAATTATTAATCAAGAAAATAATAATCAAATTAAAACTCAAGGTTTTGAATATTAAAAATCATAGAAATACATTTAAAACACTCTTGCATTTAGGATTTTTTTTTGAATATAATGCTATGATACTTTTATCTGCAAAATTTGAACATTCATTTTTAAAACAATGTTAAATACTTTGAAATGGTAATATAATAAATTTTAAAATACTCTTTATTGTAAATTAATATTTCAACTAAAAAAAAATACTGGCCTTACCTGTCTAATAAATAAACGGGCTAAAATGAATATTAAAATGTTTAATTATGCAATTTACATCATTAATAGATATGATCATTTGAAATATATGGTCTATATTCATTTAATGAACTTCATCAGTAAATAAAAATTTCAAAATTATATTCCTATATTTAACCATTCTAATTTAATAGGTAATATTGATTTTACAAAAAGAATATTATAGTTTAGCAAAAGATATAAGAATTTAATATCTTGTATCCTTTCAAAATTTTTAATAAGGAAGTAGAATCAGTATCAAAACTGTTTTAAGAATCTATATCTATATTCTTTTTTTTGAGGATTTACTAACTTTGATAAAGAGTTTTATATAAATAAAACTTAAATAATATAATATACTTCTTCATCATTTGAAGAAGCATTTTTCGTCACAACATCTTCTTTAATAGCATCAATTTCAGATTCCAATTTAGTTTCTATAGGTTAAAAAAAATGATTATGATAATAAAAAGGGATATAGATAATTGGTTTAAGTTGAAAATAGTTCATATATTATGTATATACGGCATGTGCTAGATGATTTAATCAAAACATATTCAGCTTGATCTACAACAGAATTCATAAAACATATCTTATCTTATCTAGCACGTTGGTCATAGACCTTCCCAAAGTGAGCGAATGTGAATTATGTGAATGATGCCTATTTTTTTTCCTCAAGGATACCAAGTACCTAGTTGAAATTTAAGAAAATGAGTGGAACTTACCTATTCCAATTTTGAAATAGTTTGATTTAGTAAAGAGTAAATAGAAAAAAAGAGAGAAGAGAGAAGGTAAAATGTGAGAAAAAATGGTTTATTCCAAATAAAACTGTTCTTAATTAAATTTAAAAAATTAATTTTGTAAGCTTTAAGTAAAAACTTTTGATTTCTAGGCCTTTTTTTGAATTATTATTTAATTTAATATATGATCTATTAGGTCTTTAAATATCAAATGATATAGTAAGGAGTTATAATTCATTTTTTGTTGATTATGTTGTGTGAAAAATTCTATTTGATATATTTATTAGGAAAAGCAAAATAGATCCTATTTATAATTTATTTCGCTTTGTAATAAGAAATATTCTATAATTCATTTGTTTCATCATTTTGTGTCTCTCCATATTTTAATCATTTATAGTTATCTAAACGATCTTTTATACCTTAATTTGAGTCTATGAGCATTTTTAACAAGTAGAGTTGAAATTTGGAACTACTTGTGGAATTAGAATTTGGACTATTAAAGGAAAACACAAAAACAAATTATCAACAATTAGAGAAAAATAAATATAAAAGTGTAAGGGAACGATAAATTAACTATGAAAGTATAAAGGAACATTCTTAAAGAACAATATTACTGGTTAGTTAACAATAGTCTAAGAGTTAATGAAGAGAATAAGGATTATGGTGAGAGTAAGTTAAAATATATTTTATTATTATCCTTTTTTTATCCACACACAATATATATATATTATCTAAAAATATAAATTAGAATACATATAATCAAAACGAAAAACAAAAAGTAATAATAGGTAAGGTTACAAAAATTAGATTAAAAATATAACTTTTTTAATTAGAATACATATAATTAAAACGAAAAACAAAAAGTAATAGTAGGTAAGATTACAAAAATTAGATTAAAAATATAACTTTTTAAATTAGATTAAATAAATTTTGAATATATAACATTCTCCTTCTTCTAAAAAACCTTCACACTTTAATTATGTTATCGTAGTTAGTTTGTTCATCAAGTTGTTTCACAAGTCATCATATTGTTGGCTTGTCCCAATTGTAGGTTTGTTTAAATCGCAAGCTTGATATCCTTATCGTAAGTTGTCCTTATATATCGTGACTTTGTCATATAGCTTGCTTGTCACCTCAGTTGTTATTATTATCATTTTTCAAAATTGTTATAATCATCAGTGTTACGAATAATGAGAAATAATAATTCATCAAATTGGATATAAGAATAAATGAAGAATGATAAATAAATAAGATTGTTATATAATATTTTCAGCGTTTTAATTTTTTGCGTTTTAGTGTAAGCGTTTTAATATTTAATTTACTTTATGCAATTTAATATTTATTTTATATTTTAAGTTATGTAGTCTTTTAAATAAACAGATTTTTGTTTAATTCGAACAGGTCTAGAAATAGGTGTTATATCGTTATTATCAGTAATTTTTATATTTTTGTCCATACTTCCCTCCTTAAAAGAATCCTTAGAGTCACAGTTAATAATTGTGTTAAAACAGTTTCTAATTCTTATTTGATCTAAATGTCTCCTCAAAATACCTTTCTCTGTCTTTATTTGGAACATCATGTCACTTTCTTTATGTGTGATCATGTCTTTGCACCATTTATCATCACCTTGTACTTTGTACCAAACAAAATCTCCTACGTTAAAGGTTCTATTTCGTGGTAAAGTAACGTTTATTTTATTCTCTTTCTCCTCCAACAGTTTTAATAAGTCCCATTTAATTTAATATCTCGATTAAACAATCTTTGAGATGGTGTAACTCCTGTAGTATCATTACGCGTATTTCTGTAATTAAATAAAAATTTGCCAAGTGCGATATCTAGGTCAATTTTAATATTCCTTTTCATATGTGTTTTGAACGTTCTCACCATGCGTTCTACCTGGCCATTGGATTGCTGGTGATAAGCAGATGTGAGCACATGTTTGATACCAAAATTGTGGCAAAATTTTTCAAAATCGTTACTCGTAAAGTTAGTGCCATTATCAGTAACTATAGTTTCAGATATTCCATATAGCGAAATAGTTTTAAAGATTTCTTTTAAAGTAACATCAGTCGTAATATTTTTAACAGGAATAATAATTGGAAATTTGCTGTAGGCATCGACTATTATCAACCAATTTTTTGTGAAAAACGGACCCGCATAAACTATGTGTATCCTTTCAAATGGTTTGGTTGCCGAAACCCATGGTTTTTGTATCTTTATTGGATTATCATGATATATGTTAAAATCGTCACAACTTTTCACTTCCATTACTATGTCATTATTTATACCAGGTCACCACATGTAATCTTTGGCTAAGGATTTGATTTTTCCTGCTCCCAAGTGACCTTCATGTAATGACTGTAGTATATTTTTTCTCATAGAAGACGGAATTATGATAAAAAAATGAGCCTGGAACAAATATGAAATATATTTTTATTAGTTTATATGAAATATATTTTTATTAGTTTATATAAAATATAATAGATTACGTATATATACATTAATATAAAAGCATGGTAATAATTTATTCCAAACAATTATAAGAAATTTATGGGTATGACTAAATACTGTCTTGCTAAACTGTCTTGCTAAACTGTCTTGCTAAAAAGCAATTAATCATAATTAATCATAATTTGATGATATAATATCTTTTAAAAAAATTTTTTCTAAAACATTTTATTTATTTTACATAAATCAATTTTTAATTAATTAAAAAATTGATAATAAATATCAAATAATTTAAAATTCTATTTTTAATTAATTTTATTGGAAAAAAAATATATTTACTAGCTTATTACAACTTATATTTTATTTTTCAATTACAAAATTTAACAAATTTATATCCATAAGAGGGCGTTAAATACATAAATATGAAAATATATTCTTAGGTAACCAGAATAAATATTGGATAGCGCTTTTTTTGTATTTGGGTGTAAATACATGTGAAAAACCTAAAAAAAATTTTAAAAATAGAGGTTTCTTTGAGAATTAATTAATGAGTAGGTTTAGAAGCGAAAAATAGTAGAAAGTTTGTAAGGAACATATTGCTGGCGTTATTGATCAAAATCTCTTCATTTTTGGTTTATACTTGTATATTTAGGTGTTAAACATTATCCTAAAAAATATTTTGAAAATATTATGATTTGACCGAATGCCGGGCTTAAAACCGACCAATTACTAATATTCGATCGACCAAATTTGGTGTTAATATTATTTGGAAAATGTTCATTTTTTGGTGTATTTATCTATAAATACGTGCAAATCATTATCCCCAAAAATATTTTAAAAATATCGTGATTTGACAGAAAACCGATTTGAAACCGGCCCAATGACTAAATACTGTCTTGCTGGCGTTATACATGGAAAATTCTTTATTTTTGGTTTATACGTGAACAATAACGTGTTAAGCATTATCCTAATTAATTTTTTGAAAATATTATAATTTGACCGAATGGCGAGCTCAAAACCGACCACTTACTAAATATTCGATCTACCAAATTTGCTAGTAATATTATTTGGAAAATGTTCATTTTTGGTTAATATATCTATAAATACGTGCAAATCATTATCCCAAAAAGTATTTTAAAAATATCGTGATTTGACCGATAACCGATTTGAAACCGAAATACTGTCTTGCTGGCGTTATACATAGAAAATCTCTTCATTTTTGGTTTATAGGTGTATATTTAGGTGTTAAACATTATCCTAAAAAATATTTTGAAAATATTATGATTTGACCGAATGGCGAGCTCAAAACCGACCACTTACTAAATATTCGATCTACCAAATTTGGTAGTAATATTATTTGGAAAATGTTCATTTTTGGTTAATATATCTATAAATACGTGCAAATCATTATCCCAAAAAATATTTTAAAAATATCGTGATTTGACCGATAACCGATTTGAAACCGAAATACTGTCTTGCTGGCGTTATACATAGAAAATCTCTTCATTTTTGGTTTATAGGTGTATATTTAGGTGTTAAACATTATCCTAAAAAATATTTTGAAAATATTATGATTTGACCGAATGGCGAGCTCAAAACCGACCACTTACTAAATATTCGATCTACCAAAGTATTTCGGTTTCAAATCGGTTATCGGTCAAATCACGATATTTTTAAAATATTTTTTGGGATAATGATTTGCACGTATTTATAGATATATTAACCAAAAATGAACATTTTCCAAATAATATTACTACCAAATTTGGTAGATCGAATATTTAGTAAGTGGTCGGTTTTGAGCTCGCCATTCGGTCAAATCATAATATTTTCAAAATATTTTTTAGGATAATGTTTAACACCTAAATATACACCTATAAACCAAAAATGAAGAGATTTTCTATGTATAACGCCAGCAAGACAGTATTTCGGTTTCAAATCGGTTATCGGTCAAATCACGATATTTTTAAAATATTTTTTGGGATAATGATTTGCACGTATTTATAGATATATTAACCAAAAATGAACATTTTCCAAATAATATTACTAGCAAATTTGGTAGATCGAATATTTAGTAAGTGGTCGGTTTTGAGCTCGCCATTCGGTCAAATTATAATATTTTCAAAAAATTAATTAGGATAATGCTTAACACGTTATTGTTCACGTATAAACCAAAAATAAAGAATTTTCCATGTATAACGCCAGCAAGACAGTATTTAGTCATTGGGCCGGTTTCAAATCGGTTTTCT